CTGCAGCGATTCAAAAGATTTAGTTTGAAGTTTTAATATTATGATAATATTTTCTATATTATCAGGATAGATAATAAATAATTATGATTTGAATTTTTTTATATTGAAATGATGAAGAATCTATTCATATTTTTCCAATATTTTGGAATATAATAATTATACAGACGATGAATATATAAAATATTTAGCAGGTAAAACGAAGATATTGATTTACAAATATTCTTGATTTCTTATCTAGCATTGATCTATTATGATTAAATATTCTATGTCTTATAGAATCTAAATATATTTCAATTGCTCTAAATGAGAATTGTCATCTTTATAGAATTCTTATTATCGATATTTCATCTCAAGATGGATCATCCCTTGGAATTTTACAAGGTCTCTCCATTATTTTTTAAATTGTTTTGATCTTATATCTAATGCGCTATCAAAAATAAGATGGAATCGAAATATTTCTCATCGTATAAGATATAATGTTTCAGCTATTTCCAGACTAATAATCTATATATACCTATCGATATATAAGCACGAATTGTGGCAGAATCAGAATATAGAACCTAATATAAATTCTATCCAATTATTTCGTATATCTAACGGCAACAAATCAACCGCAAGCTAGATCAGAGAAATAAAAAACGAAATATTTTTATTCATCTCTTCAAGAAAAAAATCTTTTTAAAATATATATATGAATATTTCTTTTATTTATGACAATATCTCCAAAATCTTTTGAATCGATTTATCAATTAACAATAACTAGATATATTAATTATAGATATATTTATAAAAATATCTAATACTAATTCAATCTTATTTCAAAATATATTCCATTCGATAGTAACGAATAAATAATCTTATAAATAAAATTTATTCCAATTCAAGACATAATAATATCATATATATATTTTTCTTATATATAGAATATCAAAACTTTTTTAATTCGATCAACAATTATATAATTATATATATACTTATTTAATTAATATTAAATAGATAAATATCTTAATAGATACCTAAGAATATAAATATATATATATACAAAAAATTAATAATAAATACATAAATATATAAAAAGAGAATTATATATTTTACTACATATAAATCAAAATAAAAGAAAAAAATAAAATATATTCAAATTCCAAATAAATATATAGCCATATTTAATAATTTTTCCCATTTTTTCGATCTTGAAACTAAATAATGCCCTAATTTCCCAAAAGCTTAGAAATTTTACGATCACGAACCTATCCCCCTAAAACTATCAAAATATAAAAGAATCAATACTTCTAGATTTCCTAAGGCTACTAAAGCTTTCCAGGCTTTCACTATCACGAGACAAATATATAAGTTCCAGAAAAATATATCAAAAGACCAAATTATCTCAAATCAAAATAAATCTCACATACAAATAATAATATATCAACATATTCTAAGAGAACTCCTTATTTTTATTCATGTATTGTTTCATAATATCCAAAAAATTCATCATATCTCTCTTCAATATAATATTATTTATGATAGCAAAATTACAATTTAAAAACGATTTTTTATAATAGATAAAATATATATGTTAAAATGTCAATATTTATTATATTTTTTGTTTTTTTCCAATATAGCAGTTTCTACAGGAACAAAGGTTCAACATTCAAATAAAATATTCAATTGGAACTCCTTCGTTTCCGTCAATATTATCTGCAAGCACGCTTGCATTCCTTTCTCCTTTTGGCCCCGATCTTTCTGGATGTCTGTCGTCAACTGGTGTAGTTCTTGCCATAAGTATTGCTGTCCTCAGCCGACAGCACTTGGGATCTTCGGGTTTTTGGGTCGTACGAGGAACCCTGCGCAAAGCATACTAATATCTTCTAAGTGCCGCGCCCCCCCACGGTGGGCAGCTGATATGGCCGTGTGATCCTCTCGCAGCTATGCTTGCTTCAGTGGTAGCCCCTTCACACGAACTCCCGGCTACATCATGCTACAGCACGATGCAGTGTCGTCCTTGCGAGCGCCCTCCTCCGTGTAATGAGCCACAGTTCTGTTGGCTCTGTCCCCAACCCCAGCGATCCGCACGTCCCCGTAATCCAGGATGCCCTTGATGGCAATTGCCAGCGTTGGCAAAGTCATGGAGGGAGCCCAGCCCTTCTGTGTAAGTGGTTCGAAGCAAATACCCCCACGCTCGAACACGAAGCCACCTTTGAGCTGTGGATACACAACGCGAACAAAAGGCGGCTCCATGGGGAAACCATCCGGCAACACCAGCTCCAAGTCTATGCTAGCATCCAAGTTGTGCTTTTTCAGGTCCGCTGCGAGCTTGCCGTCTGGGTTGATGTCCCTGAGTTGGACGAACCATCGAGCCAGATTCTCTTTGTCTTTCAAGCAGAAGCGGTAGCCACTTTTCTCTGCTTCGGCAAGCCCTTCAGGACTCAGGAGCCTTTTGGCCTCACCCATCGTCCGCTTCACATACCGCATTGGCTTGCCCGACATGTTCGCAAACGACAAGTCCACTTGCTGAAGCGGCTGCTTCGAAGCATCCTGCTCCCGTGGCATCGATGAGCTGCTTGCTTCTGGAGGCTTTTGGGAGGGCTCCGGCAAAGAGGGCTCCGGTATTGACACGGGCGGTCTTCCCGAATCCTCGCGCTGCACCTTCGCCTTCGGTAGAGGGCCAGAATCCAGGGGCCTCTTCTGGGCCTCCTTCGGAGGAAGCGCGCCCGAGGTGCAGAATCCAGCCTTGATGTCGCTTGTGATGTCACTTCGACTTGCACCCAGTCGGAGCGCCTCGCGACACGGAGTCATAGTCTACCCCTCAATTCAAATCTGTGGATCACAATTCCCAGCCTCCGCTACTGTTTTGGCGACTTTGTAGCGCTGAAACCGCTCATGAGCCTGCCGGTAGCACGTTATCACGCCGTAGAGACTTGCTAAGCCTGGTCTTTCGTGCCTTAGTGGAGGATGTCTCTAGCTTAGCTCGGTGCATCCCTGACAATGCAAGCACACATCCTTTGTGGAAGACAGTGGTGAAATCGTCCCTGCTGACTACACATGCACGGCACGAAATTTGCATAATATTTCTCCGTGTCTCCTAGTGATGGGACTTGGGCTGGAACGCCTTTCATTCTCCAGGCCTGCCCCGCCCCTTTGAACAACTTGCCTTGGATCCTGCACGCTTTGGATTGTGCTCCAGGAAAGTGAGAGGTGTGTCGTCCGTTAGCTTGGGCGGCATCTTTCTCGCTCCTCTGCCTACCCTACAGCCACGCCATCATCTGGCACAGCTTTTAAAAGTCTCGGTCGGTCTTGGAAAACCCTGTCATCCTTCATGTCTACAAGTAGTCGGTTGCGTTCACCATCTCGAGGGTTGGTATCTAGCATGGCATCGGGGCGTTTGGCTTGGAACCCCAAGCGTCCGTGGCTGATGATCTCCTTGCAAGCAGAAGCGTCATGCAGGAAAAGCCTTGAGCCACCGGCTCAAAGATCGGGCCACCCAGCAAGAAGAATCGCTCTCTGTAGTACGGCAATTTTTTCCGAGGCAACTTGGATGCTCTCGTGAACTAACCGCTGCTGGTTCCCAGCTTCCCCGAGGGCTGCCGGGGCAGCTCGGCTAGTTCTGACCCCAACTACACCAAAAACGAAGATGTATGAAAAAACACACAACACCATACAACACCTCGACCCTGCCAGACCCCCCCAGCTCTCATCAGTACTCGAGCAAGCCCGACCGGCGCATGATGGAAACCACGGGGATGGCGAATGGCCACGTGACCTGATCGACTGCAGGACAGAACAGCGTCCTGAAACTCAGAGTCTGAAGGGCTCTGGCCCACAGTGTCAGCATTGCGTAGTAGGCCGGGCTTCTTAGGCGTTCCTCACGGCGAGGCGAGCAGTTCGTCAGCTGCGGCAGGAATCCTTACCCCCTGACCTCCCAGTACTTGGTCGCCCAGTCTCTGAACTCTCGCTCCTGACAGCATGAGAGTTTGGACAAAAGCAACTTCAGATCCAAAAACAAAGGCAACAACATGCAACAAAATGTTTGAGACGAAGTTAGGTGAGCGCGAGTCGAGCAGAAAGGATTCAATCCAATGGTGTTGCAGTGGCTGGCCAGTAGGAATCCGGGGTGACGTCACTTCACTTACGTGTATGGATTTATCACGGTAGGCTTCGCACCACTCCCGGTCAGCACCAGTAGTTGCAGAACATACCAACAAGAAGCCCCACATCTCTTGCCACAGGATGCAACATGGGTCGCAAAGGGTTGTACTTAATCGACCTTCCGATCTGACCAGATCAGCACAGAACAAAAAGCCGTCATCTCTTTCGTCACGTCTGTTTGCGCTTGCCGATTTCTGACGTGTTTCATCGACTGCCGAGCGCTTCCACATTGACATGAGCCTGTGCCCAGGCCGGCACCCCGTAAACACTCCTGAGATGCATATCTTGCTTCATAGTCGCTTCTTAGTCTTCAAAGCTTTCACTCTGAACTTCAAGCCCACAACACCAAATTCATTCCGATGCCACGTGCCACGAGCACCCTTGCCTGATCAGAGAGGCTAAGGTTCAGCGAAGAGGACTTTCGTGCTGTCGGCTGCGACCGCGTGATGTCCTCAAGCTGCTGGAGCTAGTATCTTGACAGTGTGGCTGAAAGCGCAACAATGCAGAATGCCAGCCGCACTCGCTCAGAACTGACACTCGCTGCACAGGACATACGACCTTCGGAAGATTGAAGTTGGCGTCCCAGACCTCTGCGGGCGAGCTGAAGAACTTGTCGCGGTCAACTCCCAAAACTGCTGAAACCCGAATCTTGGTGCCTTGTGAAACTCCTCGTTCCGCTCCAGGGGAGCGTCAACACTCATGACCTCACGAAGGCAGAATTATTTCGACTGGGGTAGCTAGAATTAGCCACACCGCTGCAACGACGGGCAAGACAACGAATGCTTTCACCAACGTCTTGAAGATAATCTGTCGGTGCCCGGCGTCGATGACAAACTGTGCCTGCGCCTGCACGGGTGACTGAGTGAGTTGCTTGAGCACGATTCTCCGTCCTGCTGGCTGAAGCCTTGCCAAAGACCTCAAAGGCGAGATGCAACTGGGACCCGAGATGACCCGCAGGGCACGCAGCTTTTCTTTGTGAGAGTGCCTTCCTTCGAACTTTAGAGCATGGACACATTTCGAGAGCAACTTCGGCCTTCCGCTCGCGGCTTCCGGAGTTGCGGCGGACTTCGCGCAGGATTTCCAAGGCCTCCGGGACTCTCAGAGAGCCTCTAGATGCCTCTAGGACTCTAGGAACCCGAAGGGGAACCCGAAGGTCGAGCTTGGGCTCAAAGAAAAGCTTCAGAGCTCGGCGAGGCTTCATGTTGACCGAATGCGAAGTCTGCAAGACGAGGGATGTTCTTCGCCGCGCTGGTAAGTCTCTCCGATATTCTAGCAATGGCGCGGAGCCATCTAAAATCACTTGATTCGCACAGAGCTGACTCGCAGTCACGAGTCATATCATATCCTGCCAGATTAAATGGCAGTCGGGTACCGTCCCTTCCAACAAGCTTGCAAAACGCATTCCATCTTCGGCCTCCTCTTTCTTCCCCTGCTTGTGGAGGCACATGGCGATCGTCATCTCGATCTCCTAGCAGCAGCACTGCCATGAGGAGCCGGTCCCAGCTGGCACATGATCCTGTGATATCCTGTGCCCAACATCTTCGGCCCAACACAGAGCTAACAGAGCGGAGGTCGTCCAGGATGGGCCGGCGGAAAGATGCAGAAGTAAATCCAAATCCGAAACTAAACTCAAGTTGCATCAAGAAGAGGCGACCAGCTTGTTGACAGACTGAAAACCACGCCAATCCGCTGCTAAGCAACGCAGCTCCGGATGCTGCAAAGACTCCTCAGCCTTAGACACCAAAATCATCCAACATCTAAACCTGCGCAGAAGCCATGGGATGACTCTCATTCTGCCGTCCTCCTTGAGCTTGTTGCCGGCAACCCGACTCTGGGCCAGCTCCTGGCCATCAGCCAGTGGTTTTTCACAACAGGGGAGGACTGAGGGTTGTTGGCGCCAGTACACGTCACAATATACGCATATATATATATACACGCCATACGAGCATGCATTGTAGACAGGAAGCGATGCAGAGACAAACAGAGTTCGAGACAACATGTTCCACAGAGAGTCAAGCCAAACTGTCAAGCACTCTCTGTGGCTGCTGTTGCTAGCTGAGGATCACTCAAAACCTGCGAAAAATGCATCCAGCATGCCTGAATGCTGACGTTTGATGAGTTCAGTCATCTTGTCTATGTCAACAACTGAGACTGGACTATTGGGCACACTGGGCAGCCGTGCCACGACCACGACGTGAGCGTCCGACTGCGCAGCTCAGCTATACATATGTCATGGGGTATCTACAACGACAAGTTTCTACAGTCATTACATAGCGTCGATGAATCACCTTCCCCTTTTATTTAACACCTCCCTAGTAATCAAAACACATTGGGGCGAATCCCCCCGAAATCATCCCTGCCCTTTAAAAGCTATTCTGAATTAGGGGGCAGGGTTTCGAAGCTCCAAATACCCTTAGAGCACAGTAAGAGCCAGAGCAAGAGCAAAAGCAAGAGCAGCAGCAAGAGCAAAGCAAAAGCAAGAGCCGCAGTAAGAGCAAGAGCAGGAGCAAAAGCGGGAGCAACAGCAAGAGCAGGAGCAGGCACCTCAGACGCAGCAGAAGCCGGAGCAAAAGCCAGCGCGGGAGCAAGAGCCAGAGCAGGAGCAAGAGCACAACCCCGCAAAAGTGGCAGAAGAGATACAAAATAACTCCTCATAATAATAACACTTTCAGAGTTGTTATTGGGGGGCCCGGTTTCATATATTAGGGGGGAAACGATTATCCGACTCAGATCATCAGATCATTACATGTAAACACAAGCAGGGCAATTGGCTTATACATGGCCCAGTAACACCAAGTACTCCCACTCCATCGTTTTGTTCACAGGAAGCATTACCAACATGCTGTTGTCACACCCGGATATGGCCAAAAGGCCAGCGTGGCATGTGAGAACCGCGCCGGCAAGACACGAACTGTCAGGAGCAGCTCGAGACATTGATCGAACCGGAACTCCTGAAGGTTCAAATTCAAGCCTTGCTCGAGCCGCAAGGGTAGCTGGGTCAGAGTCGGGCCTTCTGCAAGCTCTCAGATATCCTCACGGCAGTCTGGATCCAACCAACCTTCGTCAAGCTTACAGAGAAGGTGTCCCATAAGCTTCTACATCCCACCTCCGCTCGCTTCCGCGCTTCAGGATCTGCAACACGCGTCCTGACCAAATCAACAAAGCAACAGAATTGTACTTGCGGCTGCGACGGTTGGCCTGAGCACATCGTAGGTGTTGAAGGCCAAGGACAGCCTTGGGATGCAAAAGTGCTTTTGAAATCACGCTAAACCAAGTGTCCGGGAAGCGCAGGGCTCTCGTAGGAGTTGGACATGGAGACAGAAGTGGGCGGGGGCCCTTCTCGAAGCTGTTTGGGGCTCCGTCTGCATTTGCCTATATTATATACATCTCGTCGACTTCAAGTCCACTGCAAGGAACTGACATGCATAGTGTGGCCGTGAACATCCAGTCTCGATCTGGCATGGCCTGCAAAGACCCTTCACTAAAGTTTGTCATAACAGTCTAACAAAGTCAAGCAGCCTTCCCGAGTCTGCGTAGACTATCGCGAGCGTCTCAGTCGCCTGCCAGCAACAGTTAGGCTTCGGCCCCTGTTGGCCAAAAGTTGAAGATGAAAGACTTCACCTGCTCACTGGTATCTCCTGTAGTTTAACACCCCGGACGGCCAGGAATTCGTCTCCCACTGTGAGCTCCACGAACTGCGAACCCTGCACACCTCGTCATCGATAGCTTGGGCGACCTTGTAGTCCAGTTTGCGAGTCAGCTGCTCCTGGAGAAAGCATCTTAGATTATACCTTATATTGTACTCTACTGCAGAACCAATAACATAGTAGCACATGTTATGTGATGCTTATCGCTTGTGTTCTGCGGGGTCTCTTCCCTCGGCAATGTGCATTGTGAAAGCCCTGTGGGCCGGCCTCGCCGTGGGACTCAAGGGTTCAGGATGTTTTCAAGCTTCCACATCGGCAGGGCCCTCAAAACCCTAAACCCCAAAAAAATATCGTGTTTTCACTCATTCCTTCATTCACTGAGACTCTTTCGCTCCAGGTTGCAGAGGCTTCCCAAACTCACCGCCTACCT